ATATAGATATGATAGGATAAAAGGGTATATTATCTTATATAGATATAAGATAAAAAAGAGGATTATTAAATCTACTTTTAAAAAGCAACTATTAGTTTTAAATGTTTTATATTGGATTAGTCTTTTCTATATTGTATATAAATTTTGTATATTGATTCAAATTGGAGATTAATTTTGTTAGAGCATACTGTACATATATTTCTACTTTTGTTCAAGGTATTTTACCTATACAACTCATTTAACAATGTAATGCAATTATAATCCTTGAAAATTATTATTACCAACTATTTAGGATAATAAGGAAATATAGGTTAGTAGTTAATCACCAAGTATAATCGAACTTGTAGTCACATTAGGTATGTTTTCAAGGTCAAACAAAGATATATTTTAGATAGACAGGTCATCTTCAAACACTTCAAAAACTACAGAATATGGCATTTAAGATTCTTTAATAACCTAGGTTCTTCTTTTTTATAACCATGAGACATGTCTGCTCTTGGCAGCACAAATCTACTTCAGAGAAGATAATGGGCATCGAAAAAAGTCCACAGAAGTTTACTCTCTTTGTGACAGAAGTAAGTAGGCAAGAAAATGCCCCTGCCTTGACTGCTGGCAGTGTGCTGTCCTAATTAGACAAGCAGGACACAAGATACCCTGCTTCACAGAAAAGCCTGTTGAATATGCTAGGCCTGTAGGTCGAAGATGGATGCCTAACATTGCAGAGAATTTTAGGTAACTGTCCAGGCAGCCAACTATTTGACATTTCCAACATTTTTTGGAAGTCGCTTGCTCACACTTCCTGCTTACTCAGTTAATATTATTTCCTTCTCGGGTCTCTGAGGGAGTTGAAGACTAGATAGTTATATTTATAGTTTTCCTTGTTTACTTGATGCAGAAAGCAAGTTATGATAGAAAGTAAATTAGGTACAAGACTTTGGACTCACCAAGATAGATATTTGAGTGTTTACTCCAAATTTGTCAAATGGAAATGGACTAGACATTGTTGATGTATTTATTGCCTGTATATTTTGTATAAACTTATTGTACTTATTGTATATAGTCTTTTATTCATAGTCTTCTTTTTATTTTAGACAAAAATATTAAATGTAATGATATTTCATTTATATTTTAATAAATAAAGCTTGCCTGAAGTTCAGAGAGTAAAATAGCCACACTGGCCAGCCTTACAGACAAGTCTGTAATAACACACACCTTTAATCCCAGTAGCCACACTAGTTGCCATAGAAAACAGGCAGCGCATGTCTTTAATCCCAGTGGGGCACACTTTTAATCCCAGCCCTAGAGAGGTTTATAAAACAGAAGGAGGCAGCTTTCCGACACAGACTCATTCTGAGATTCCTGGAGACAGGATCGCCATTTCAGACAGAGGTTGAGGTAAGAGTTAGTGGCCTGCTGCTTTGCTTTTTGGGTCTTCAGGTTGAACCCAATTTCTATCACTGAGTTTTTATTAATTGTGCTTCACTTCTGAGTCCTGGGAGTCCAGTTTGGGAGGTTATTTTATTGCTATGTTCCTTTAGTGGAATAAAGCAGTAAGTTTTCCCCTAGACCATGACCTATCTAGTTCCAGATTCTTGGCCACTTTTACAGTATCAGGTATGAGTTCCATCTCACAGAGTGGAACTCATAACTTAAATCCACCCAGAAAGTGGTAGATTACTTTCATAGCATTGTGCCCCTGTTAAACCGGTAACAGGCAGGTGGTGTGGGACAATTCTGTATTCTGTCAATTATGTTTTAAATAAATGCTGATTGGCCAGTAGCCAGGCAGAAAGTAGAGGCAGGACAACCAGACAGGAAATAGAGGCAGGGCAATGAGAACAGAATTCTGGGAAGAGGAAAGCCCATCTCTCCACAGTCCTGTCCAGAGACCAAAGAAGCAGGATGTGATCTGCCCCGCTGAAAAAGTACGTCATGTGACTAACATAGATAAGAATAATGGGTTAATATAAGTTATAAGAGCTAATATGAAGACTGAGCTAATGTGCCAATCAGTTTATAACTTATGTAGACTTCTGTGTGATTTTCTTGGGACATACCAGTTGTGGGAACTGGGCAGGACAGAAACCCCAACAAGCAGGCCCTCATGTTACAGGCAGGTCACTGTTGAAGGCACAAGGTTTATAGCTAGATAATATTCATGACAGCCATTCTCCTCCAGTAACATGTAGGGTACATTATAGGATTATGCATGATAGCCAATAGGGTTGAAGCTTCTACTGAGCATCAGACCAATTTCTCCATGTTTGATGTCATAAGTATTGCCTTCTACTATAGAACCTCCACCACCAAGTTGTGGAGAACAACCAAGAGCTTTGACAACAGCCTGTGATGTTTGGAGGTTTCCATAGGCCCCTTTGGCCAATATTTATCACCTTTCTAAATGTTATACCATACCCACACTTGCAGTTATATATATGTAGGTATGAATGTATGCTTGATAGTCATATGAGGGAGAACATGCTGGTTTCTTTTCCTCACTTAATTTTGTACATTCTAAGTCCATCTAATTTCCTAAAATTTTGTGATTTCATTTTTCTTTGTCACTGAGTAATATCACATTTTATATACAGACAAGGTTGTAATTAACCATTCATTTGCTGATGACATCTAGGTTGGTTCCATCTCCTTGACACAGTGAATCAAGCAGCAATAAACACGGGGGTGCTGATATCTTTGTAGCAGGGTATGACTTTCTCTAGGTAGATGCCCTGGAATGAAATAGCTGAGTCATATGGTAGGTCTGTTTTTAATTTTTTGAGGCATCTCCAAACTGATTTTCACATGGCTGTATTAATTTGTAGCCCACCAATAGTAAGAGGTTTTTTCTATTCACATCCTCTCCTACATTTCTTGAAACAGAGGATTTGTTGCTGACAGCCATCCTGCCAGGGACCTCAGAATGGTTCTGCACTGCACACCCTGATGACGAGGGTTATTGAATACCTTCTAAACTACAAATGATCGTTTGCATTTCTTCTTTTGAGAACTGCTCAGTCAGTTCATTTGTCATTTGTTGATTGGCAGCTTTGCTCTCTTGATATTTAATCTCTGCAATCCATTGTAAATTCTAGATATCAGTCCCTTGTCTTTGGGTTTGGTTTTGGTTTTGGTTTTGGTTTCTGGAGACAAGGTCTCTATATGGAAGCCCGGCTGGCCTTGCACGCCTCCCGAGCGCTAGGTGCGCCCGTGCCCGGTCTCCAGTCGTCTCTTTCGCTGTACAGAGACTTATTTTCATGTCGTGTCCGTCCTTTCCACCAGGACTGGTTCCTGTGACCGTAGCACTCTGTTCAGAAAGCTCTTGCCTACCCCGATGTCCTGCACAGTACTCCTTATGCTTTCTTCCAGAAGTTTCCATTTTTAAATTAAGGCCTTGGATCCATTTTAAATTGATTGCTTCTCAAAATGAAAGACATGAATCTAGTTTCATTATTTTGCATGTGGATATCCAATTTTGCCAGCACTATGTGTTGAATAGCTTTTTTCACTAAATGTTTTCATCTCATTTGTCAAAAATTAAGGGGATACAATTTTATGGGTTTGTGTCCATGATCTCTGTTCTGTTGCATTGGTCTACTCCTCCATTTTTATGCCTGCTCTGGGCTGCTTTATCACTGTAGCTCCGACTGGGGCTGGCTACTGTGATACTCCAACTGTGCTCTTCCTCTTTGGGATACTTTGCTATTTGTAGTCATCTGTGGTTCTAAATGAATTCTTGGATTGTTTTTTCTAGATCTGTAAAATATGCCATAGGTATTGCATTATATCTGTAGATTAATTTTGGTAGTACAGCCATTTTCACATTACTAACTCTGCCAGTCTGGCGCATGGAATGTCTTTGCACCATCTAGAACCTTCTTTGATTTCCTTTTTGAGGTCTTGAAGTCCTCCTTGTCTCCTTGTCCTTCTCTTCTTTGGTTAGCTGTGTTCCTACATACTTAACTTTTTGGAGCTATTACAAATAGAATATTTTTTTTCTCTTAGAGTACACTGTTAGTATATATAAAGGCCAATGTTTCGGTATTGATTTCCTATAACTGTGTTATTAGATCTAAGAGTTTTCTAGTAAATTCTACTGGGCCTTTTCATTTTTTTCTTTTTTTTCTTTTTTCTTTTTTTTCTTTTTGGTTTTCAAGACAGGATTTCTCTGTGTAGCCTTGGCTATCCTAAAACTTGCTCTGAAGAGCAGGCTGGCCCTTGAACTCAGAGCTCCATCTGCCTCTGCCTCCCAAGTACTGGGATTAAAAGTGTGCAACACCGCTGCCTGGCAAGTCTTTTCTATTTCTAAGTAACATTAAATACCATGTCATGGGTATTAGAATCTAGTCTCCTGGGTTGACACCAAAAGATGCAGAAAATGCTACCTGCCCCATGTGACTTGCTCCTGGTCCCCAGTTCTACTTCTTAAAAGCCCCACGGTTTCCCAAATTAGCACAGACCTGTGAGGACAGTTCAGATTCAACCACAGCTACTAACCCTGCCCCTTCTAACAGGGCCCTGTGTTGTCAGAGAATCCCCTAAGGTTACTTAGTGCTGCCCTAGTCCAGCTCCATTATCTGCTCAAGGACAGATGTCAGGCTCCTTGTCTCAAACTCAGTGTCTCGTGAACCTCCTAGGACTAAACCAAGTCCCTCCAGCTGCTGGAGCAATGGCTCCATGGGCAAAGCTCCTGCTGTCCGAGCTTGCGGACCTGAGTTGGGAACCTCAGCCTGCGCATCAGAACTGGGCACAGGCCGGTAAACCAGTGCTGGTGAATCCTGAGGGGTTAATTGACCAACCAGTCCAGCTGAAATTATGAACTTAAGACACAATGAAAGACCCTGTTGCAAAATATAAGGTGGAGCATGGTTGAGGAAGATGCTTGCTTCAGCTTTTAGTTTCCATGTACACAGGGGCAAGTGCACCTGTGGTCTAACACATACATCGCACACACAGACACATACACACATACGCAAAGTTCTTCCAGAGTCTAACCCACATCCTTCCTGTTGCTGCCCTGCCCCTCCATCCTCATGTAAAATTCTGACTGTGAATCTCTAAGAAATCTTATAAAGCTTTCAGAGGGGACAAAGTTCAGACAGAAGAACTCCTCAGCCACCGTAGAATAAGCCACCAGCGATCCACTGCCTGCCTTCCAGGGCCGGGACTGTTGTCTTACTGGGCTTTCTGTGACGTGGATCCTCTTCACAACAAAGCAGGTGAGTAGACTGACATTTCCTGTGGCTGGGGGAAGGGGTGGGGTGACAGATGAGCCACCACCGAGTGTGTGCCTCTTTCGTGAGCACACATACCTGCCTCTGTGGAGTTCTGCTTGGCTCAGACATGCCCCCAAGGTACGTGTGAAGCTCAAGATTCCCTACCCCTACTGCTGCCACAGTGCCGCAACTCCTGCTCCATCTTGGGGGCTCCCTATCTATGCATCCCCGAGGACAGGGGACAGGGTCCTCGGATCTTTAGGAGACTAGAACAAGAGGGTAAAAGGAGATGGCAGACAAAGGAGCCTAGACCAAGAGAGGGCCCAGATGAGAAGGAATCTACCTCTCTACATGACTTCCAGGCCATCAGAAGGCCAACCTAGTTCCCAGGGTTTCTCTTTCACTGACAAACCTCTCTCTCCATCAGTCTCTCTGGAACACCTTAGCTCCTATTCCTGTCCCTGAGGTGCTACCCACTCTCCCGCTATACACTTGCACTTAACCTGTTCTCACAACTGTCCCTGTCAGGGAAAAGTCCCTTCAGAGGACTTTGTGGGGGGGGGGTTGTTTGTTTGGTTGGTTGGTTTCTCGAGACAGGGTTTCTCTGTAGCTTTGGAGTCTGTCCCGCAACTCCCTCTGTAGACCAGGCTGACCTCGAACTCACAGAGATCTGCCTGTCTCTGCCTCCTGAGTGCTGGGATTAAAGGTGTGCACCACAACCACCTGGCCAGAGAGGCAATCCCTCCCTGAGAAACCCCAGCAACCCCTTTCATTCCAACAGGGAATCATGAGGCCCCCTCCCCAACCTTCAGCACCTTCCAGCCCATGAACTTGACCTAGGGGAGATGCCAGACTTGGGTTGGGGGAGCAAGCTCAGCATACAGGCTCTGAAGGAGCAGAAGGTTCAGCTCAAGCCCAGGGCCGCCCACACTATGGTGAGTAGCAACATGAAAGAGTGCAGCTACTTCATTCGCTGCCACCCTCTCAAGGATGAGGGTGTGCACATGGACACGGGTTAAGAACACCTGCAGGAATGGATGGATGGACGAGGGCAGGGCTGGGTACACAGGAAGGAGGAAGTGGAGAGTGCTCCCTTCCCATGCATAGCAACCCGTTGCCCTAAGTTCCTCTGGTCCTAGAAAGGTCAGGCCCCATCAGAAGTGACCAGGGCACAGTCAGGCACTGATCCCAGACACAGCTGTCTGTGTTCTGTGTCAGCTCCTCCATTAGCCCAAAACATTTCAGATCCTATTTCAGTATCTTGTCCTCCCAGACACCAATTCAGTGTCCTTTACTAAAGAAGAAGCCACCCTCTCCTGCCTGGGGTGACTCCTACACCACCCCTGGCCTCTGAGGCCAGTGTGGAAGTCCTTCAGAAACCCAGAAGAAATTTAGGTCAGTGGTCTTGGGAAGGACCTTCTGGACAATCTGACCCTAAGACAGGCTGAGGGATTGGTATGAGGATAAAGAAGGCAGCTTGGGGTCAGAAGCCCTCTAGTCATGGCTGCTTCTCTCCCACCCAGACTTCTGCCTCAGCCCCAGCAGCTGCCTGGGTCCCGGGGAAGACTGACAAGGAGGAAGTGGTGTCTGGGAAAAGTGGCTTGTCATTGCAAGCCGAGACCAGAGCATGGGTCCAGAAGACCCAGGCCCACTGGCTCTTGCTCAGGACTGCCCCAGTTTGGTTCCATGGCTTCATTACCAGGAGGTGAGTCACGGAGGGGGAACCACCAGAAGGCACAGGGGCTGTGGGGCCTGAGTCAGCCCGGAAATCATGACTCCCAGGCCTTTCACTGAGGAGACACTCTGGCTCAGCATACTCTGGGCCTCAGTTTCTGTCCCTAGGCTCATTTATCCTACTGGCTCTAGGTCTCCGGTGCTCATATTCTCAGTTGCTCTTCCCTTCATCTCTATCAACGCTGTCCAGCCCCTCCTTTCCTCCTACCCTTGCAGACCTCCATCCATCAACCCCACTTCTCTTTCACCATCTCCTCAGTACAGCTTTTGACTTTGAAACTCTAGCACAGTAGCTGGAATGTCTGTTGCTGCTGAGGCTCCCACTGAGTAGGATCCCTCACCCCTCATCTCCACCTAGTCGTGATATACTTGCATTGGGTGAAGGTGAGGTTAGGAGAGCCTGAGAGGCAGAAATGAGGTCACAAGAGTCAGAGCCGACACTTCTCTCCAACTGTGCAGGGAAGCTGAGAGGCTGCTACAGTCGCAGCCTCAAGGATGCTATCTGGTGCGCTTCAGCGAGAGCGCCGTGACCTTTGTGCTTTCCTACAGGTGAGGAGCGGCCCCGGCCCCCGTGACCAACTGGGTGTGGGGCTTTGTGCTAACCAAGGGGCTGGCTCCTGTGCTGACCTGTTTTCTCCAAGGAGGGCTGGGTGGGGGAAGAAACGGCGAGTCTGACTCACAGCGGCCCCTCTAGGAGCCGGACCTGCTGCCGTCACTTCCTCCTTGCCCAGCTAGGGGATGGGCGTCACGTGGTGCTGGGCGAAGACAGTGCTCACGCGCAGCTTCAGGACCTGCTTCAACACTACACAGAGTGTCCCCTCAGTCCCTATGGGGAGATGCTCACCCAGCCCCTTGCCCGCCAGGTGAGCCCTTACCCAAAATCCACAACTGAGGACAATGTTGTCCGCCACTTCCAGCATCCCAGCAGGGTCCAGGCCACTGGATCTGCCTTTCTCATCCTAATCCATGACTGGCCACATTTGCCTACCTACTCCTCTTCCAGAAAAGCACATAACAGCAGGGTAAAGGGAGGGAACCAAGGTAAATTAAGCTAGGTTTACTAAGTCTGCGGAGCAGGGGTGAGGAGGAGAGGTGACCATGACAGGAGGACATCTCACTCATAAACCTTACTACAGTAGCCATGCCAGCAAAGATGGGATCAAGTGCGGAGACTGCGTTGGATGCCAGGAGACTCACGGTCCACCCTTAGCTTGGCAGGAAGTGTCAGGAAGCCCCCCCCCCACCTTCAAAAGGTGCAGGGGCTTCTGACCACTGTATGTGGAGAGTGGCTCTCAACACTGAGGAAGTAAACAGCAACCCAATAATAGCCTGGCCTTCATGAGGACAAGACAGACACCATCCGCAATACAGAGAACAAACTGACAGCAGAAAGGGCAAGAGCTTGGAAAAAAGCTAAGCAGTGATGGAAGGTAACAGGATTAGTTAGCACTGTCTCGCATAGGTACAGCAGAGAAGGTGGGGGGGCATCAGAGCAGAGCCCCGAATGAAGTGGAGAGAGGTTTGAAGACAGCTGGAGGAAAAGCATTTGGGGCTAAAGTAACAACCAGGGCCAAGACCCTGGGAGGTTGCTTGCTGGATTTGAATAATGAGCCATGAGTAAGCTGCCTTGGATGGATCAGGATGACTGATGAATCGAAGGTACAGGGAGGATTACCCTGGAGGGTTACAAGTTAAGGTCTGACAGGCTGGACAAGGCAGCCAGGGATGGAGACGGCTACAGTGTTTCAGAAAGTGAGGGCGTGGGAAACTGAGGGCGTGGGCTAGCGCTGTGGAGCAGATGGTACGAGAGGGCCTGCTGGCTCTTCAAAAGGTGGAGCTGACAGGGTCTTTGCAGAACTAGATGAGGAAGCAGGAAGATGCTTAGATAAAGACCAGAGCAGAAGCTTGTCTGAGTCAGCAAGAAACACTTGTAGTTTGAGAGGTCAAGTAGGGAGCTGGGGTTGGGGTGTAGCTAGAGGCCCAGAGTTCAACCCCCAGATCCACAGGATAAAGGCAACTGGAAACCTTCAGTTTGGGGAAAAGGTCAGAATGGAACTAGGCCCAGCTCTAACCACGCCTGAAGGCCTGGGTTCCTTTAGAGCAGGAAGCCCTGCTGTGCTGCTGAAGAGACTGGGCAAAGAGGCTGCAGAATGGTCAGGAGTGGGAGGATCCAGCGGGGGCAGAGTGTCCATTGTCTAAAGATGGCGCTGGCTGTGTGTGAGCTTGGAGAAGCCGTGCAGATGGGAGGACTGGCAGTGAGCAGAGCAGACCTTTAGAGGGTGGTGAGGTTGACTTTCCTGCCATTTGGGCAGCACAGTGGATATACTGCTTTCTGAAGGAAGGTCAGGGAAGGTCAGGATGGACACTAAGAGAAAGAATTCTCATTTGGATCTAGAAAACTTTGAATGGTTTGTAGGAGCCTGAGAGAGCCCTATGGCCTTGGCCTCCAGAAGCAGAGGCTGCATTAGTGCTGAGCTAAAAGCAGAGCTACCTAGGGTAGTTACCCTATGGGAAGGGTCATCTCTCCTGAGGAGGTCTCTGCCCTGAACATGTAGCTCTGTCTTCACGCATTATGCTTCTTGAGCCTGAAGAAAGAAGGCCCAGCTGTCATGGGGTTTATCCCCATGATGACTATTTTGAAAGTAAAGGCTCCTAAAGCCTTCCGGTTTTGCAACCACAAGCCCAGATGAGGCTGACTGCCTTGGTGCTGAGTTCTAGGTGGATGAAGCTCAGTCCCAGACACACCTGTGACCAGAGTCCATGTCCACAGTTCCCAGGCCTCCTCAGCACCATCTCCCCTCTTCCTCACACAGAGAACTTGACCCACACCTCAATTCTCTCTCTTCCTTCCTCTCAGGTCTGATTGCTTTTCCTGCATTACCTGTCATCCCCACCCCACCCCAATCGTTCAGGCCTCCTTCTTTCCCTGCAGACTGCTGAGCCGACTGGACTTTCCCTGAGGACTGAGTCAGACTCCGGAAGCAAAAGACAGGAGGACGCAGCCAGCCAGCACAGCCTGCCCATCCAACAGGGGCAGACCCAGGTCCCAGCACAAAAAGAGAAGGCATGGGCCTCCCAACCCAAGGAGGTACTGTATGAGACAAGTCATCCTGACAGGAAGGGGACCAGGGTCTGGAGAGGGGACACAGGTCAGAGGGAGAGGCCAGGAAGGTAGGGACCTCATGGGTAGAGGCTCAGGCTGAGATTGGCCTGAGCTCCTGTCTCCATGGTTCTCATCAGCTCTCTTCCCTGGCCTTGCCCTCTCTCCTAGACTTCACCAGCACCCAGACCCAGGCCTCCCATCCCTGCCAAGCCTCAGCTTCCATCTGAAGTCTATGCAAGTCCGGCTTCACGACCCCATCGGGCTCTACCCATTAACCCCATCTACCAGGAGCCTGATGAGCCTATAGCCTTCTATGCCATGGGGCGGGGCAGCCCCGGAGAAGCCCCTAGTAATGTCTATGCTGAGGTAGAGGGGCCATCGGGAACAGCTTCCACTGGGCACCCCATCCTCCGGAAGTGCTGGTCCAGGCCCATCTCAGGAGGCCAGGCAAAGGGAGTACAAGGGACAAAAAGCTCAAGGCCAGCAGAAAGAGGAAGCTCCTCCTGACCAGAGGGGCAAGGTGAAGGTCAGTGGACCGAAGCAGGGCCGAGCGATCCGTGCTGCCAGAGACCTGACTCCAGGCTCTATCTGCTCTCCTTGACATTCACAAGCTCACCTCTGTGAAGCCCTACCTGCCCCTACTTCAGAGAAAATTAAGGGAGACAGGGTTCCTTCAACCTTCCTCCTCCCAACCAGCCTCTTGTCTGTCAGGCCTTCCTCAGACACACGAGGTACTGACTCAGCTCTCCCAGAGAAGGGCACTTAGGATCCCAGTTGTCACCGCCAGTGGACGCAGAGGAGGAGGCCTCTGCACTCACAGCCTCCCCATGGAGAGTTTAGACACATCTGAATGTGGTATCGCTTCCCTGTGACTCGGACTCGCTACCCTGTACCTCAGGTCCCTCAGACTTCCTCTCTGCTGGTACCAAAGACTCCTGCTCTGCCTTCACCTGCTGAACTCCCTGTGCCCTTGCCAGCTGCTGTCTTCTGGGTTCTGTCTCTGTCCAGACTTCCCCATGTAGTCAGCATTTTCTTTGGGCTGCCAACCAGCTCCCAACTAAAGACATGGAGACTTGTTATTAATTATGAACGTACAACCTTAGCTTAGGCTTGTCCCACTAGCTCTTTTAAGCTAATTTAACTTGTTTCTCTTCATCTATGTTTTGCATTGGGTCATTTTACCTTTCTTTCATTCTGTATGTCCTACTTTCCTGCTTTCTCCATGTCTGTCTGTCTGGCCCCTGGCATCTTTTTCTCTCCTCCTCAATCCTAAATTCCTCCTCCTACTTACTGTCTGAAGCCCTACCTACACCCCTCACTCACAATTGTCATTCATTAGACCACTCAGGCACTGTAGCAGACAGTGTAAAACAGCAACACATCTTTACATAATTAAACAAACACAACACATCTTTGCATAGTTAAACAAATATTCTGCAACATCCCCATGGTTCTAAAACCACTCAGATGTCATTTGGGCCAATACCACTCTCACCCTTCACACATGCGCGCGCACACACACATACACGAGTGTCCTCCTGTGTTCCTCATCTGAATGATTACCTCCCAGCACCTAGCTATCCAGCCAGAAATGTGGGGTCCCTAAACATCTCCACCCTTTATACTTCAGTCTCTGTAGATCGATAGCATGTGCCCTCTTCCCCCATTCTAGTCCCTGCTGTTTTCTCATCAAGACTTTTCTAAGAATTGTGCTTTCTGTTGGTGTTATTTTTGAGACAGGGTCTCACTGTGTAGCCCTGGCTGGCTTAGAAGTCACTATGTAGACCAGTGACTACAGATATCTGCTTGTTTCAGCCCCCCAAAGATTACTAGAGTGTTGGGTGTACCTCAAGCATTCCTGTTACCATGAAGCTGATAGACCTTGAACTTCTGACCCTACTGTGTCTACCTCCTGCATACGAGGATTACAAGTGTACACTCCCAAGCAGTTCCTCCAATGCTAAGGACCAAGCTCAGGGCTTGTGCATGCTAGGCATGCTCTTTACCACCTGAGCTATACCCTGTTTCTCTAAGAGCATCCCAACTGCTCACCTGCATACTAGTCTTGTCACTTCTGACCTGTTCTTCCCCAAGGAAGTCAGAACAGGCTTTCTGAAGCAGTCGCCTGACCCCGGTCTTCCGTGCCTAGGTGAGGGTCCCACGACGTCGGCCCCACTCCAGACCCTCACGCCACATTCCTCCAAGCTCACCAAGAACTACTAAGCTGGTGTGGGAACCATGGTCTGTATTCTGTCAATTATATTATAAATAAATGCTGATTGGCCAGTAGCCAGGCAGGAAGTATAGGCGGGACAACCAGATAGGAAGTAGAGGCAGATTAAGGAGAACAGGAGAATTCTGGAAAGAGGATGCAATTGTGGACCCAGACACAGAGGAAGCAAGATATGACTGCCTCGCTGAAAAAGGTACCAAGCCATGTGGCTAACATATACTAGAATAATGGGCTAATATAAGTTATAAGAGTTAATAAGAAGCCTGAGCTAATGGGCCAATCAGTTTATAGTTAATGTAGACCTCTGTGTGATTTCTTTGGAACTTAACGACTACGGGAACCAGGCAGGACAGAAACCCCAACAACACTAAGCCTCTTCCAATTCACAGTCTGCCCTGCCTTTAGCAGCTCCTACAGGCTTGTCCGCCTGCTGCCTGGCAACCCTTAACCCCACCTTAAGACCACTTGCCCTTCTCCCTGGACAGCCTTCCCGGCCTGACCCCCTGACACACTTGGTAGGCCACTGGCCACCTGGAACACCCATTCTTCCTTTTTTTCTTCTATCTTCCCCCTTCCACACTGAGCATGACACACCAGGGGCAGCCCTAGGGGAGACTCAGCTATGGAGCAGCCCAGTGACTGGTGCAAAGTAGGTGCTTAGGAAGAAGAGGGGATGGAGAAGAGAGGAGACAGAAGGAATGAGTGAATATGGGTGGGAGTCTAAATCCCTTCTCTGGAGGCCGAAGAGTTAAGAGCAGATAGCTTCTCCTAGAGACAGAAGGTATGACCCAGGGCTGTCCTTCTGTCTGCAGAGCTACATTCTGAGAACTTTGTGGCAAAGCAAAGGCCTCTCCTTCCTCGTCAGCCCTCCTGCCCTGGAGGCATACCCTTTGTAGACAGGAGCTTCAGGACAGAGAACAGGCATGGCTCCCCTCAGTCCTCATCATTAGGTGGTAGGTCTGACCTGAGAGAGGCTAGCTCGGGGTATTTTTGTGTCCGGAGACCATCATACACACCTGGTCCTTCTTCGGAAAGGCAGGTGGTGAGACTACACGTGAGCTGAGCTCCTTCATCTACTACACGGATGGTGAGAAGGTGTCATTCCGCATGCCAGCTCCAATCCATTGGTCTCGGCTGCTTAGCATGCGGCCCCGAGAAGGACATTAAGGTCACGCCCAAACCCAGCAGAGAAGACCACCATGACTGATGAGTGGTGTCTGCCGTGGGTGCGGGAGGGAAAATAAGCTGCGTTTCATTTGCCCTTATCGATTAAGTTCAATTCCCTCGTTATGCAAATAATGAAATGAAGCCAGAGAGAGAATGTCTGGGCCAAGGTCAAGGATTAAATTCCCTGTTCAGGGTTCTCTGTCCTCACCCTGATTCCTCTCTCCTCTGGAAGGGGCCGTCCAACTCCAAAGCAGGCTGGAGATCAGAGGACCAAATGTGGGATCTTCTCCATCACAGTGACACACAGCCAGCTCTCCTGAGAGTCGCCAGGAACCCTGTTCAAGGAAATGTACTAGGGAAATTGTCCTGCCTCCTATGACCCGGTTTTTTTCTCCTGAAGAAACTGAACTTTAGGAAGCCTTGGCCCTCTGAGCCTTCAAATCTGGGCCCCAGTCCAATGCTGCTGTTGTCTGAGGGATGGTTTGGTGAGAACAGATGCTAGAATTTGTATGTTGGTTCTTGTCTGGCTAATAAATCATCGCCAACGATCTCCCTCCACAGGAACCGAAGTCCTTCCAGCTCCTCCTCCACCCTTTCCTCTCTCCCAGTGTGGTCCATGGGGTTAGGGGTTCAAAGACACTTAGGCAAAGTTATAGGTTTTTTGACCAGAAATTGAGAAACACTGAGACAAGGACACAGGCTTCTTTTGCCAAGTGCTTCTCCCCTAGCTGGGGCTGGGGTAGGTTAAATGGGCAGCCAGGGGCACGGGAGTGGATGCTATAGACGGGGCGGGGGGTGGGGACGGACAAAGATTCAAGACTCTTAAGAGTGTGTGAGCCTTTGGAGGATGCAGACTCCTCAAACAGCTCCATAACTCTCTTGGGACTTCCTGACCTCCTGAGCCTCGGCCCTTGTCTCACTCAGGAGGAGCCATATCCCTGGCCTGCCCCATCCAGGGGTGACTTCTTCCTTCCCCATCCCATCCTGGGGTGACTTCTCCCTTCCCCGTCCCATCCTGGGGTGCCTTCTCCCTTCTCCACCCCATCCTGGGGTGCCTTCTCCCTTCTCCATCCCATTCCAGGGTGTCTTCTCCCTTCCCCATCCCATCCTGGAGTGTATTCTCCCTTCCCTACCCAGACTCACTTCAGGACTGACCGCTGCCCAACAGCAAAACTCTACTCTGGGGTCGTGGCCAGGGAGAGGTCTACACTCTTGGTCTCACTTTCATGTCATGCTGGAGGTTTTCCAAGGCTGGTCACGCATGGTTCTGCTGGCTCCAGACTGGTCTTTGCTGCTGCTCCTTTCTCTGTGCAGCTCCCTACCTGGATGGCATCTTCATTACACTAAAGCCATTTAAGGCAACATGTGCCCTTTGGGTCCCACCCCTGGCTGAGGCACAGCACTCTCGCAGGCTCTTCCTCCCAGTTTTGTTCCAGACAGCTGGGTGCTGCCACCACTGGAGCTGCCCCAGCTTGGCACCAACACCAGCTCCAGTGACTAGCCAGTTTTCTCTTTCCACTCAGTGCTAATCGGCTGAGGAGCCATAGGTGCCAAGTCTATGTCAGCTGAAGAGCTACAGTCCACCTAAGCACTGTTAGACATGAGTGGGGAGCACATGTCCTCCCCCTCGGAATCAGAGAGGAAGCCGAAAGCACAAGAAAGGTCTCACCAGACATTTGGGTGGTCACTTCAGGGTAGGTTCCGAGCAGGCAAAGAGTGACTGATAGAGGAGATGGGAGCAGGAAGTAAGAAAGCAAAAAACGTCCCTAAACTTCTAGATAGAGCGCAGTGGCAGGTATGTCTCCTTAGGACATTCTGCTGTTGAACAGTGCAGTCTTTGCACTTAGACCAAAGGTAGCCCCCAAAACGAAGAGGGACTGAGCCCTCCCGGTCATGTATGTCTCACACGAACAGCTTTGACTAGTATGACTGCTGGGGCCAGCAGGGGCTTTGGAGACCCTTTGTGACATCTAAAGAGGAATATGAGGTCAGAGAGCAAGGTGACAAAAGTCTTGATACCAAGGGGGCCCCCACAAACAGAAGGATAAGGTTCTTGACCTCTCGAGGAGTCAGTGTGGGGATAGCACAGAAGGAGACCACTTGCCTTGCACCCATAAGGCCCTGGACTCAGTTCTCAGAGCATACAGAAATAAAATCCAAGGTGCTGATTCTCCCTGCCCTGCCCAATCTGCTGACTTTCCTACAGACCTCAGGCCTATGACTGTGGTGATGCCTGAAGCCAGAAAGTGAACTAGATCGTTGTACGGAGCAGGCTCCTCTCTTCCCAGCCAGACTTCACAGGGGAGGTGGGGACCAACTCTGTCTCCTCAGCTAGTGTTGTCAGCTGGAATCTAACATCCAAAAGGCAAGCCTGTTGGGGGCTGCAGACCCCTGGCCCCTTGATTTTCTTTGTCTCCCTCAGACTCTTTGCCTGCTGGAGTGAACTGAACAAAACCCCTGTGCCTGCAGCTGCTCTGAGCATGAGACTCTGAGGGCAGGGGAGTGGGTTCTGGTGAGTTTTACAGCTGAAAATCCCCAAAGCTGGGGTATGGATATCAGTTAAGGATCCCTATATAAGCTGCCCCTAAACACAATAAAGTTGGCACTTTTGTATCAAGGATGACCCGTGTTCCCGTGTCTGTGTGTGTGTGTGTGTGTGTGTGTGTGTTTATTCCTGACCGGTACACCATCCCATAGTGCAGGCACTACATAAGAGCCTCCAGGCACACCTGTGCTGTGGGGCACCGTCTAGATGAAGGCTAGCTTCTGAGTGTCCATGAGGGACTACTGTTCGTTCATGTGGGAAGATGCACCTTAATCATGGATGGAAGCTATTTTTTGGTAGGGGATCCGGGAGTATAGGAGAAAGGAAACTAAGCAGCATCCATTCGTCGCTGTTTCCTGGAAAGATGGGAGCCCCACTGCTTCAAGATCCTATTGCCTTGGCTCCCCTGCCATGACATGCTTCCAGTGTGAGCCAGCGCAAACCCTTTCTCCTACTGATGCCTTTGTCAGAGTAGTTTTACCACATCAATGGGAAAAGAAACTAAGATGCCAACCCTTCTGCCCATTCTGGGCACTCTGGCCCAGACTGCCCCCACTTCTGCCAACAGTCATCTCCCAAATGGAAAGCCATACAGGCACAGCTCCTCCCACTGCAGAGCCAGCCCTTGGTCAGAGTGACTGATCCTCATGACTGCCATTTCCCTGCTCCTTCAGTGAACAGACAATTTCAGCAATGTCACTTGTGGCCGTCTCAGGACAGGGAGATCCAGTCCACAGACACACCCAAAAAGGACCATCCTTAACTGGCCTCCTTAACTACCTCCATATAGTCCTCCCCTGAGCAAGCTAAAACCAAAATCCAGTCCCTTTCCAGTTCACACCCCTCATGACAGATCCCATCTTTCTGTAGTTTGAGTTCGATCCTCAAATACCTCAGCCTGTTTCTGTCCTGGTCAATGTGACTTACACAGGTATGCTGTGTTGTTCTGAGGTAAGGTCTCACTCTGAAACCCAGGCTGGCCTTGAACCCAAAAACCTGCCTCTGCCTCCAAGGGCTAGGATACAGGTGTGCAACACCACAACCAAGGACCAATTTGTGGTTAAGGCTTTCTCACCATCTATCCTTGACTGTGGCTGGTAGATCAGTTTTAGCCAAGTTTAGCTTACTGCTCCGCTCTCGCTAATCCACCATCTGTCTTCTCCTGTTAATCAGAAGCAGGGCTATCACCCCAGAAGTGCCTATTTCCTTCTTCCCTTTTCTTGATTCTCCTCCCCCCTCTTAGAAAGGGCCTCACTATGTAGCCCTAGCTGGCCTGGAAATCAGAGATCCACCTGCCTCTGCCTCCATAGTGCTGATGGTAGATCCCAACCATCCCCAACTCCAGTTCCAGGGGCTCCTGATGTCCTGTTCTGACCTCCATGGGTACCACTGACACATGTGGAGCACATACACACAGCTGCAAGAATAAAACCCAAGCCTCTGGAAGGTCAGCCAGCGCTCTCAACCTCAGCCATGTCTCCAGCCTCACTTTTTTTTTTTCTAAAACTGGGTAGTGGTGGCACTCGCCTTTAGTCCCAGAATTTGGGAGGCAGAGGCAGGCGGATCTCCGAGTTTGAGGCCAGCCCGGTCTACAAAGTTCCAAGACAGCCAGAACTAAAAAGAAAAACTCTGCCTTAAATTGTTTTCTTCCTTTCTGGAGTGGTGCGTAGTGGAGGATGCCTGTAACCCCAGCACTTGGTTAACCTCAGCTCAGGTGAGTTCAAGACCAACCCAACTGTTGTAGTGACCATCTCAAAACACAAATTTCTTTTAAAAGGTAGCTGCCGTCTCCATGAGAACTAAAGGCGAAAGGCCTATCTGTCTCCTGCCTCCCAGCAGCAGAGGCACTTCCTTCTCCATCACTTCAGTGCAGACTCTGAAGACAAGCAACTGAATGCAGGCTGGGACCGCAGGTGGAAAGGGTTGCTCTAGGCTGCACCCAGAGAACACCTGGCTGACCCATCTGGAGTGATCTCAGCCCTGGGTATCACTGGTACTGATGCCCCCTACTGAGACTGGCTGGATGTGTAGACTTGAACAACTACAGTCTCTGTGGGACTCGGGAGCCCTGTCTGGCTCCAACCCGAAGTAGGTCAGATTTCAGATAAGCGGGTACTTTTCCTGTAAGTGATGAAACCCTACAATGTACTTAATGAGAAACAGACCCCTGGACTTACCTCAGCGCAGAAGCAGAAAGTGAGCTGTCTCATCTGCTGGGCCCACGTCCTCACCACACCCTATTTAAGCCATAGCCTTGCCTACCCAGGACAGCTGAACACTGCTAACCCCACCCAGCGTTTCCCATAGCAGTGGACTGAAGCGCCTGTGTGTCACCCAGCTCCTCTGCCTGGCACCCGCAGGCTCTGGAGTTTCTTTAGCGCTCCACTCCTGCAGACCAGGTAACTCATGGATCCCTGAAAGCTGACTCATGGTGTATGTGCCATCTTTGTGAGCAACCCGACTTGAACCTTGACCTGAAAGGAAGATACTGCATAGTGTACTTACTGTTCCTAGTGTGCACATGGCGCCCTCAGTTCTAAGTCTATATTCCCTTCCATTTCCCTTCCCCAAAACAGATTCTGAAGGCTCCATGAAGATATATCTGGCCCCAACATCTACGCCCAGCTTTCAAACCAGCTCAATCTGTATTGGTGGTAGAGTGTAAACACAACCTTCTCCAAACCAGCCCATGCCACAGAGCTGTGTGAGCTTGATTCAGTTTGGGAGCAGGTGCTGCTTCACGCCTCGCACTACCAGGTGTCACTTGACATACATCACCGTCCCTTGTTCTTTGTTTTTTTTAAAAAGTAGAGTCTTGCTACTGTAGCTCAGGCTGGTCTTGAAATCATAACCCTTCTACCTCAGCCTCCTGAATGCTGAGATTACAGGTGTGCAGCACCACGCCCATCTCCACACCTGATAATCATCCCGCCCCGGGGAAAACTGCCAACAACTGGGGTGGCCACGGCCACAGGACAAGGATAAAAAGCAAAGCAAGGATGAGCCGCTCGGGCGCTTGGCTCGGGCCTGTGCGCAAGCTCAACACGGAGACCCAGCCACAGCACAGGCGCATCTGTCACACTCAATGTTTTATTTTAACAGACATCCCTGGTTTTAAAAAAAAAAAAAAATTGTGGGACAGTTCAACATCTCATCACACTGACAGGGAGCAAAACTCCCACCCGAGAATTCTGGGCCTTTGGGGAAACACTTGAGTCTCTCCAGCCCAGCACAGAAAGGAGCTGGACTTCTAACTTGTTAAGAAAAATCTCTCCCAGAGGTGAGGGCTGGGTCCTCAAGGTGGAGGTCCTGGACTTAGAGCAGCTGGGGTCTTGGAGGTGAAGCTGGGGGCTGGGCCAACAGGGCCGACAGGAGATTCTGAGCCATCAGTTCCTGAGCCCTAGAATCCGTATTTGGCTTGGGTCTGCCGGCGACTGAGCTTGTTCTCTGACCATGTGTTCTTGAGCTCCAGCTCCCGCTCCTTAGCCTGGGAACACAGAAGGGGGAGAGGGATCACTGTGAGCAGCCTGACTTCCTGACAGAATGACGAGGATCACACACACTGTACCACTGTACAGCC